TGTTCTCTAGAGATTTCTCCTAACACATTTTTGTAATTTCCCCTTCAAAGTCCAAGATGTCTACGATGGAACTAGATGCTTTTGAATTAGTAATGTTGATAGGGAAGTAGACCATAAGGGACCCGAGATGATGTATGGATCTTGAGTTGAATATTGGATTTGAGGCTTGGAAGATGTTTGATGTATTACTTACAAGAGTAACTTTTTATTAGTGATATTATTTTTTACAATTTATGTTTGGTTTATTAGTTCCATAATTGATTTTAAATAGTGAACATTATTGCTTTAATTTTATGTTCAAAAGAAGTTTTTTAGGATCATTTGAATTAAGTTGAAGAATATCCTGAGTAACAAGACAACGCTGAGAGGTAGTCTTGGTTTCAAAGTAGGCAAATTTCATGCTTGAGTAACAAGTCAGTGCCAAGAGGTAGTCTTGGTTTCAAAGTGCGCAAATTTTTTGTTGAGTCTAAGCCCTTCCTTGTAAAGTTTAAGTTATTTCCTGTGAAGTTCAAGTCACTTCATGTTAAGGTGGGACATTTCCTCTTATGGATATGCTATTGCCTGCTAAATTATGTTGTATGATGTATGTTACAAAGTTATGATTTTTTTGGAAAGGATGTGTACAAAGAAACCCTAGGAAAAAGCAGAAATGGAAAATAAATATATGGGCATATAGTATTGTTATCAACTACGCTCCAGAGAACTGTTAAGATGCATTCTTTCTTGGAATTAGGTAAAATATATGCTTTCATGATCTTCCTATTAATGTTACCTTATTCCCTATTAAGGTTAAGTCATTTCCTGTTAAAGTTAGCACGTTTCTTATTAGGATTAAGTCATTTCTTATTAATGTTAAGTCATTTCCTATTAAATGTACCATATTCTTGTTAAGGTTTAGTGATTTCTTATTAAGGTTAAGACATTTCCTATTATGGTTATATCATTGCCTATTAAGGTTATGGTATATGTGTTAAAGTTGTGATTTTTGAAGAATATTTAACTTCTACCTTATAAATTATTTTAGGTATTGTCAATATTTAAAATTAGCATTCAATGTGTAAATTTAACAGTTATGATATAAATTTAACATTCAATGAGTAAAATTAACATTAGCTAGGTAAGATTCAAAGTTCAACCTTCATGGCTTATAATTAAACCTATATAGTCAGCTTTTTAACTTTTCAAATCATTCACACTAAATCATCAAACCTAAAATCTTCAAATAATCCTCTACAAATTCCACACAAAACCCTTAAAAGTTTTAGGAATAGCAAATAGCCCTTGGAAATTTTACAAACTGCCCCCCCCTAAAGGTTGCAAAATAAGCAAATATTCCCCTAAAAATTTCACAAAAAACCACTAGAAGTTTTAGAAATTTCCATTAGTCCTGTTAAGTTTAAGTTAGTTTTGTTAAGGACAATATATCTCATGATAAGGTTTGTCATTTACTATTGTTACAGACTATAAGTAACTACGTTAATCTTCCTTAGGAGACCGACATGTGTCCTGTTCCACGCCCAATCAGACATGTTCAAAGACGGACGACTTGAGATGCTCCTACGATCGGCCTACTATTTCAGCCGACAACTTGCATAGCCAACTAAAAAGGCAGTAGTTATCAACCTATCCACCTGATCGAGGCTATGAGTCTTTGCGCTCAGCCTACTATTCCAGCCGACAACTTAGTAGCCGACTAAAAAGGTGGTACTTGTTGACCTACCCACCCGATCGAGGCTACGAGCATCCGAACTAGGTCTACTACTCCAGCCGATAACTTGCGTGGCCAACTAAAAAGGCGGTGCTTGCCGGCCTCCAACCAGACGAGTAGAGAGGCGGTATGTCCTTGAAACACCCACTGACAACCGACTACCCTCACCTTAAATACGGTGTCAGAGTCATCATTATTCTAGCCCCATAGTCTTTATGACTCATTGGACTTAGTTAACATTAAGCACCTCCTGTCATCCCCACATTAAACGTCTGAGTTACTCACCACATTCAACAGGCGACACCTGTACAGTAGATGATGGCCGAGCCGCCAGCTAGACTCAGCTACAATTACCTATCCACACTCCTGATCTACTATAAAAGGAAGCCACGCCGCTTAGGGTAACTTCTTTAGTTTTTTCACGCAACTTTAGACTCTTAGTCACCATTTACTTCTCATTTTCCCACTCAAGATTAACTATTGACTTGATCATCGGAGGAATAACAGGAGAACCCAACTCTAACCTCTCACGAGTTTTTCATGTGCAAAAGACAAGTTCATGCTCCAAAATTGGTCATTTGAGGAAGCATGAGGACACTAACACCGCCTTAATCCACAAGTAAACCTCCTGTTTGATAACTGACACCAACAACTATGATGTGTAAATTATTTCGTGTTAAGTCTAAGTTAATTCATGTTAATCTAATGCATTTCCTATGAAGTTTAACTCATCTCATGTGAAGTTTAAGTCATTTCGTGTTGCCTAAGTCATTTCTTGCTATGGATAAGTCATTGCTTGTTAAGTTATGTTGTATGCTATGAAGTTGCAATTTTTTGGGAAGGAAGTGGACAAAGAAACACTAGAAAAAAGTAAAAAGGGAAATAAATAAAAGGGCATATAATATTGTTATTAATTATGCCCCAAAGAACTAGACAAATACATTCTTTCCTAGAATTAGGTAAAATTGATGCTTTCATGATTTTCCTATTAAGGTTACCTTATTCTTCATTAAGGTTAAGTCATTTCATATTAAGGTTACCACATTTCCTGTTAAGGTTAAGTAATTTTTTGTTAAGGTTAAATTATTTTCTGTTAAGGGTACAACATTTCACGTTAAGTTTAGGACATTTTCTGTGAAGTTTAAGTCATTTCGTGTTAAATCTAAGTCATTTCTTATTATGAATATGTCGTTTCATGTTAAGTTATATATATTGTACGTTATAAAGTTGCAAATTTTTTGGGAATGAAGTGGACAAAGGTACCCTAGGAAAAAGCAGCGAGGTCTCCATGATATTTTCAATATATTTTCTTTTAACATGATCTATTACTGTCACAGTCTATGAGACTATATCTCTCTTGATATTTCATCAAATACTTTATAAGTAATTTCCAAAGCACTACATATCATATAATCTTTTAACAAACTACTTTAAGAAAATAAATCTCACTCATCCATTTCAATTAAAAATAGTCTAGCAAGATCCAATCTACCACTAAAAAGTAAAGTCATAACTAATCCAATCATGAGATACATTTGAGAGAAATAGAGGGGAGAGAAGAGGAGGTCATAGGTGGTTTTGAGAAGGTGATGATCTTGCCCATCATGCAAGAGAGTTTGGAGGAGGAGAGGGGGTGGTCAAGGAAGGAGAAGATGATGGAAAGCTCAGTGGAGGAGATCTTGTCGTCTTTATTAGAGTAAAACTAGTTGAAGATGCACTCGAGTTTAGTGGTGACGGTGGGGGAGGTAGGAGAGGGAGACGACGGGATTGGAGGAGCAGAGGAGGAATAGAGAGAGAGAGAGAGGAGAGGAAGGTTATGATTAGGCTTAGGATAGAGGAAGAAATGAGGAGAGAGGAGGGAAGAGCAACCATGAAGGCTAGAGTTAGGAGAGAGAAGAGATGATGGAGCAGAGGAGAGAGGAGAAACAAAGATATCAATGGCATCGACAATGATGTAGGGGAGGAGGATTTAAGAAGGGGGTTTAGTTGGAAGAAGTAAGAGAGAGAAAAAAATCTTTATTAGTTGTGATCTGAGAGAGAGAGAGAGAGAGAGAGAGAGAGAGAGAGAGAGAGATCTGTTAGATTCATGGTAGGAGGGGTAATTTAGATATTTAGGACAAATACGGTATATACAATGTTACTGTTGAGTTGGAAGGGCTGAATCACACTCTTTTCGGGTTTTGGAGGCTTTTACACATGAGAGAAAGGTGTGAGGGTTTAGTCACATGTGTTTTTTTATTTTTGGGGCTTTGACACAATTTTTCCTTGTTTATTTTGAAAAGAATTAACAAGCTTACTAAAAAAATCTGCTTATTATAGTTGTTACACAGTTTATGATTAAAATCAATAAATCTTTATCTCATTTATTTCTAACCTCACCCGCTTATCCAAATGATTTTTTTCGTCTATAAACCCAAAGTCTTAACCCTTATTTACTTTCAAATTGGTTTGCTTTTAAAATCACACTAAAAAAATAAATTAGTACATTGAATTAATTTTAAATCAATTTGCATTTAACCGTTTGACATACAATGTACGTTGCTATATTTTATAGTTTCTCCCTAATTTTTTATTTTACATCATTATATATATGGTATTTTTTAAACCAATGTCTCGGCATAGAAAACTGTTGATCGGTTTTCCCTATAAATCTAAAGTTTTATCCCCATTTATTTTTAGGTCTACCCACTCATGTGTAAGGCTTCCACCTATAAACCCGAAATATTACTCTTATTTTTTATTTTAAACCGATCAACTTCTAAAATCAACCTTAAACACAAAATACTCCATCAAATTAATTTTACGTCACTCTATATTTTAATACTTTGGTACGTATATGGTGTAAGTTGTCATATTTTATTACGACATACTATATTTTTTGTTCTAAGTCGTTAGATATATGATGTTATTTTAAACCAGATGCTTATAGTAGATATACAGTGTCGCTTTAAACCAAATGCTTAAACTAATTTTTTTTTTCTTTTGCGCTTTTCCATACTGATGTTGCGGCCATGCATGGATTAATTTTTCTAGTTTAAACTGGTAGTATCTGTCGTATTTTTCATTATTGTTATTTTATTTTCCTTAAACTATTGGCTCCAACCATTTCAGGAGATCAAATTAGCAAACCTATGATAAGAAACTGTCAAACTAAAACAATAACACATAAGCGAAAGAGAGAAAAAATCGGTCGACAAATGCGCTCCGCAGGCAAAAGGGATCGACATGTTCAATGCACATATATAGATCACTATTAGCAAAGACTTATTTCATATCATAATAATTCTCTGAACTCCTCCTCTCATTGCGATAATCACTGCCACCACCACCTCGATCGGAGCGTTAAGATGGCCATGTCCAAGTCCGACTCCTTCAAGGCTCCAGCTGGTGATGATAATGCTGCAGCTGCAGGGTCTTCGTCGTCGTCGTCACCATCACCGCTCGTGGTGTGTTTCGGCGAGTTGCTGATCGACTTCGTGCCCCCAGTCTCCGGAGTCTCACTCGCAGAAGCGACCGGTTTTAAGAAGGCTGCCGGAGGCGCTCCGGCTAATGTCGCTGTTGGGATCTCTAGGCTGGGCGGATCCGCAGCTTTTATTGGCAAGGTATACGCAATCCATGGTTATATTAATGATCTCTTCATCACTGAGAAAAAATATTTGGGTTATGTATAAATACACTCCTCACATCTCATGAGAATACGTAGATAGTTATAATCCATGTTGTATTTATTAGCACAGCATTCCCTAACCTCTACGGGCATTGCTATTTCCCCATTAGAATCTAAATTCATGTAGGAATCACATGCATGGTGGTCAAAATTGGATATTTACTCAGAAATTTCACATTTTTAAAGGAAAATGTTAAAATAGTGACGCCCCGAGAGTCAAGAAACATGCGTACTAAATTAAATAATTGTGATAAGTAGATTACTCGCTCTAGCAAGGCGTGCATCTACACTACAGATAAATGATACAAAACATGTAACATAAAAAAGTCACAAACTGAAAATAGAATTAGTTGCGGGTAGAGCCTCGGTGTTAAATAGAGACAAACTGTGGATAGCTAGCTAGAACCCCCTTATAGTTCTATGGGTGCTTGCTAACAGACCCTTTAGTGAATTTATTTTTGACTCTTTGTACTGTAATCCAATTGTGGTAGACACCCTATATTTTTAATTAAGAGTTGAAAAAATTATAATGAGCCAACGAGTACCAATGGCGATCTTAGTAATTCTTTTTGTTAGAGTTCTACGAGTGACTATTCGTGTATGACTTTCTAATCCGTTCCTTCTTTTTCTTATCAAAACTCGATTAGGTTCATCCTGTTTTTTTCCCTTTCAAAACACAATTGCCGCTTGTATTTATATTTTCTTGTAGAAGCTTTCAACTAGTATTATATCTTAATTAAACAAAAAAAAATCTCGCATTAATTTATCATTATAAAGAAGCATCCAATTAATCACAAAGTCCTCCGTCAATCTGAAAAATTAGGAAACTAATTGATTATCAATTTCCTATTTCTCAACCATCTTGGATGTTATACCATTTCGGTTAAAGAAGAGAAGAGAATAAAATAACTGTTTCGATGAGAAATGATGAAAGAAAAACTAGAGGATGGGGGGAAAGAAGAAAATTACGCTTTCCTAAATTGTGCAAGCATTTTACAATTTTCGGCACTTATATATATATATATATATATATATATATATATATATATAATATATATATTATATATATATATATAAGTAATATATATATATATATATATTATATATAATATATATATATTATTAATGGGTATCCTTGTCATAGAGAGGGATTTCTGCTAATGACGCGCTCTAAATCCGACATGATTGCAGCGACAATTGTGGATGATTTTGGCTCGCGTTGAACTTGATCTACATATTCTAAACCCGCAACACACCAAGTTTGGGGGTGACCCGTCGTCGTTTGAGCCCCTCCATCGAGGCCATGTAAAAGCTTCTATTCATTCAAAAGAACGTTCAACATTGATACGAGTGGATGAAGGTCAAAGCGATGAGCAGTTCACGCGCGAAGTAAAAAAAAAAAAAAAAAAAAAAAAAAAAAAGAAAAAAAAAAATAAATAAACTTATTGTGTGTGGGGTTTTAGAATATGTAGTCAAGTTCCAACGGAGCGGACATCCACAAATGTCGGCTCAACTATGTGATTTTAGAAGGCGCGTGCATAAAGGTGGAAATCCCGCTGCCTATGACAAGGATACCGGCATCTAATCTTCTCTCTCTCCGCTCTCTCTCCTCTCTCTCTCTTTCTACTCTATATCATATGATATATATATATAATATATATATATATATATATATATTATATATATAATAATATATATATATATATATATTATATTAAAAAAAACCTAATCCCAAGCAGCCGAAACATTCCACATTCCACTTACAATAAAGGAAAAATTAGCAAAATAGACCTCTTTTTGGCCAACAGGCCAAAAAGATGTCTATTTTGCAAAACAGCTCAGAAAACATACGGGACTAGTAGTCCCGTATATTTTAATCACGGATTATTGAACTCAGAAAATTTCACAAAACATTGAGATGAACTCAGAAAACATACGAGACTACTAGTTCCGTATGTTTTCTGGGTCACTAATCCGTGATTAAGTTGGCTCTAAACATACGAGACTAGTAGTCCCGTATGTTTTCTGAGTCTTATTTTTCAAAATCGACCTCTTTTTTTCAAAAGAGGTATATTTTGCTAATTATTTAGCAAAACGGTTTATTTTTCTAAATAATTAGCAAAAACGGACTATTTTGTAAATGATCTATCTTCACTTGGAAAGTAGTACATGTGTCTAGAGTAAAAAAATTCTCCCAAGGGGCCTATCCTCACTTGGGTAGTAGCACATGGAATTTCATCCGCAATCAAGCAATATCGTGATGTATACTCTATTTACATCCCAAAGACAGCGTCCTTACAACTTTAGGTGCATTTGAATTGTTTAGGTAGGCGATGATGAGTTTGGGTACCATCTGTCCAACATACTGAGTGATAACGGCGTCGACAACTCTGGCATCCGCTACGACGTTAACGCACGGACGGCGCTCGCCTTCGTTACCCTCAGGGCCGATGGTGAGCGTGAGTTCATGTTCTATCGCAACCCAAGCGCTGACATGCTTCTTACTGAAGCAGAGCTCGACGTTGGACTCATACAAAAGGTTTCGTCAATTGACATACTTACATTTTGTCTTTATATGCAATTTATACCTACTCTTGAGAATTCAAATTTTGGGTGCAGTCAGCAATTTTCCACTATGGCTCCATCAGTCTAATTGAGGAGCCCTGCAGATCAACACACATAGCCGCAATAAACATAGCGAAACAAGCAGGTTGCCTTTTGTCTTACGATCCCAACTTGAGATTGCCGCTGTGGTCCTCACCTGATGCTGCTCGTGACGGCATCATGAGCATCTGGAACACCGCAGATGTTATCAAGGTATTACAACTAGATCAGAAATCTCTTCTTTCCCTCTTTTAATGTTGGATCTTCAAATTTATTTTCTGCTCTAATTTTGCAAGAACATCCGCACACAGATTAGATTTAATTCCTGTATCAATAGCCGGAGAGAGAGGTTTGCATCCGTTTAGAAGATTTTTAATAGTTCTAACAGTACGGATAATTCTTGAGGGACATGATGTAGTATCATTCAAAGACATCAAAAGAATATTAGAATGTGTTTCTAGTTGTATGAAAGAATAAACCTTTTGCAATGCAATTATTAATTTGGACTAATGAGCGTAGCTTGCGCTTCTGCGAAAGAGACTGTGACAGTCCTTAATCACTTCGCCATAAGCGAGAAAAACCTGTCTTTTCAATTTTATTTTCTATTTGTACTTCGATCAGGTAAGCGAGGATGAGATCTCATTCTTGACCAATGGTGATGATCCCTACGATCATGACGTCGTCTACAACAAGCTCTTCCGCGAAAGCATCAAGTTACTTCTGGTAACAGAGGGGGGTGATGGCTGCAGATACTACACCAAGGTATATATATACTCCCAACTCCTTCCGCAATCTTAAAGGATTCGCAGATGTTTACTCTTTCGAGAAGTTACTGACTATCCTTCTTTTTTTTTCAACACATTTGATTTGTGGCAGAAATTTCACGGCAGGGTTATGGGTGCTAGAGTCAAGGCCGTTGACACCACTGGTGCCGGTGATGCTTTTGTTAGCGGAGTTCTCTGCAGCATCGCTAATGACCTGAACCTCTACCAGGTGATAAAGGGTGAAGTTTGAATTGAATTTGTTTCGGAGAAGTTTGAATTGAACTTGTTTCGGGTAGTTTAGGTCCTGGCATACTGCATTAGGTCCTCAAGATCTTACGAGCAAAATTCTTCACTTACAGGATGAGAAGAAACTGAGAGAAGCTCTTATGTTTGCGAACGCTTGCGGTGCTATAACTGTGACAGAGAGGGGAGCCATCCCTGCACTTCCAACAAAAGCGGCCGTCCTCGAGTTCCTTAACACTGGGATTGAGCAACCCCAATGCTATTGTACAATCTCTTGAAAACTAGGCTGACTACGATGCAGGTTTTTCTTTTTTTTCGTAAAATTAATTGAAACGAAAAAGGAGAAGTACCATTAAATTGATATTGAGGTTTGATTATGGAGCGGGATAGATGAATCCAAAACATACATATTGTTTTCATGAGGGATCCGGCAAGGACATAATTCTGTAATATACATTGCGAACAAGTTCTTTCTCCTTTTTAATGTTTCAAGTCCCTTTCTTTAATCGGTATTTATAGGTTGAATCAGTTAAGCTATTGATATGTTTCCTCCTCTATTTCTGGCAAGATTTACATGGTTGGAAATGACAAATAGGATAATCTCAATTCACAAGAGAGGAGGCTCTAACAGTTACAATTGTCTTGGTACATGTAGTGTTTTTCTTGAATATAGATAGTTTACAAGAGACTTTTGTTGATTTAATTTAATTGAAATACAAGTCATTTTGTTATTTCAAATAAAAGAAAAAAAAAACTTTAATGAGTGTTACCTTCATTATGGGCTGTCAAGAATAGGGGACTAGAGGATTGGGCCACCAGAATTTACATTGTGCCTTATGGGTTTAGTTGATGAAAATGGGCCGGGCTTCATTGTCTATATTATTTATTCTGATGAATTTCCTTTGCAGCCTCTCCGGCAATGTTTTCTCATGTTTCTATCATGCACCATTCTTTTGGCATTATTTTATTTATTTTTAAACTATGCATGATCTATTTGTTTTCATTTGTTTTCGGAAAATGGCTTGGGCGTAATGAGAGTAAGTAAAAAGAATTTACTCGGGTGATCATCTGGTGTAAAAAAAAATACTATGCGGGTAGTAAGTACGACACTACAATGGTTCTATTCAAAATTATTGGGTCTCTTTTTCATGGGCTAAAATATGTATTATATAATACAATAATTTTATTAAATCCACTTAAATGCTTGTGAGCTGGGAACTGAACCTGAGTTGTTCTGAAATCATTTTAAAGTCTCTTTCACTATCAGAAATTTCAAAGATTGTAGAACGTTTTAGTATATAAGTATATACTCTATAACATGAAATGAACTAGTGGCAGCAGTATAACAAGCATATCAAATAGCACATGCAGTATCTTAATCGTACAAAAAAGATCATCTGCTTGCGACCTGTTAAACATCATAAAACAAGATTTTGGAATTAAAAAACTAGCTTTCGGGGAAAGAAAATTACCCGCAACAGTTTATGAAAATTACAGCATGTGTATTAGAATACATGCATGTTATTCTACCATCCGGGAAAAAAAAGCAAAAGAAATGGAAAATATGCTTGATATTCTGAATTGTTTATGTGAAGGCAGGAAAATTATCAAAATATATATATATATCACAACTTAATTAATGCTTTTAGATAAATGATAATCAACATCAAGTTGATCACCTTTTCTCTCTAACTACCACCTTTACCGAAAAGACAAGCATCGTATTCGTCAGCCTCGTTCACACTAATGTAGATCGCATAGATATATATATATGTATGGCTCTGACAATTTTCTTTATATACTTTCTAAAGAAATCTATATATGACCTAAAAACGCCTTAAAATACTAGTCACTGTATAAGATGGACAAATTTTCAAAACCGACCCCTTTGGATTTTTAATTGCAAAAAACGACCTATTTCAGTTTTATTTATAAAAACCGACCCAGTTAGTTGAAACTGGGTCGGTTTTTGAAATTTTTTTTCCAAACTTCACGGGAGTTCAACTCCCGTGAAGTTTTGTTATGAGAAAAACTTCACGGGAGTTCAACTCCCGTGAAGTTTCCCAAAAAAATTTAAAAAAACCGACCTGTTTTCAGCTAAACAGGTCGTTTTTTGTAAATATTTTCAAAACCGGTCGTTTTTTGCAATTAAAAACCCAAAAGGATCGGTTTTGAAAATTTGTCCTGTATAAGATATCTAATCCTTGGTGCATTGTCTTGTATATATGTAAAGAAGAAACACATTTAATTGCCCAAATTTCCCCCATATATTCCTCAGCTTGGAGAAATATATATGTGCACCCGAATCTCTAAAAGGGTTTGAACCCTCTCCACCACAATTGATTCCTAAAGTCCACTTCAACTAACTCCTACTTATATCATTGTTTCTACCTTTTCTAATTAAGAAAAGGACAGGCTGCCAAAACCCAAAATTCAGGATTCTATACCCACTTGGCTTCTTCAGTTACAAATCTTGCCTATTACAATTAATTAATTAGTATGTGGTTTAGCGACTAGAGGAGCCACGGCAAATCCAATGAATGTCAAGGTTAAAGACTTAATTAAGGTGGTGTATAATGAATGAAAGAAATACCAGTCAATTCATAAAATGTCTGGGCATGATATCATGCCACGAGCAGACCCAGTTATGAGAGGATCTGATGTAGGACGCTTAACGGACAATTTCATGGAGGATTCGGAGAATCACGTGCTACATGTATTATTGACTTCCGCAAAGAAACAATCATAGTTTTCAATCCGGAAGACGAATTCTGACATATTATATATGTAAATTGTCTATCTTGACGAGACGGAGCCAACTAGATTGTCCGATTTTTAAAATCTCATCAGTAATACCTAGTTTTGGCTAAAACCTAAAAATAATCAGCTTTTAGCTTATTTTTAGTAATAAAATTGGAGTCTATTTAGATTAGGAAATAAATTTAATATTAGAGTCAAATTAGTTTAGGAAACAAATCCAATTTTGATTCATGATTTGTTTCCTCTATTATAGGGAGTTTCCTCTATTACAGGGAGTCTTTTTAGGATAGAATTTGATACTTTCTATTTCTTTGTAATTCTAGTCTTACTAGAAGTCTTATTTATTTTTCTATTTAAGAAGAGTCATGCATGTAACCCCAAAGAACAATATCTTTTCATTAATAAAATTACTCTTTTAATATTTTCTTCGTGGATTCAAAGTTCTTCGTGGATTCAGAGATCGTTCTTTGTGGATTCAGAGAACACCCCTGGTGGATTTTGAGGTTATCTATTCCGCGCTGCGTCAATTGGTATCAGAGCATTGTTCCTCCGATCCGATGGAAAGTGATGAAGCTCCTTTTTCTCGAACTGAGTTCGACGTACTGAATATCGATGTTAATCAGAGGAAGACTGTCATAGAACGACTTGCGTCGACAGTGGAGCATCTGAACACGGGAGTAGTTGAAAATCGCGTTGATGGTCGCCAACGACGTGATCCGACTCCACATGATGAATTTGTTGGCCTATTTGTTTTGATGATGTTTAACAAACAATTTACCATTAATGTTGTTAGATGGAATTACGCCATAACGATCATATCAAATGGAGGTTGACAGAAATAGTGGTTGAAGCCTTGTAATTCAAGTTGAAGATCCAAGTTCAAGCTTCATCCACAAGTGTACCAAGATAGAGCTTCGTTGAAGGTCACAAGCTTGGGTATAATTAGTTTAGGAGTTTATATTATGTGTGTTAAGTACTGTAAGCTCAATACCATATACACACACATTTTATTGGTTTATATATAACAAGCATATAAATAAATATTTATATACATACATGTTTGTTTTTACGTGGATAAGTTGGTTTGGTTTAATCTCATACATATGAAACAAATATATATTCATATACATACTCATATGTTTCATATTCTATTTTATTTAATATTGTATTCTTAGTTTTTAGACTTAACAATAATCATATACATGTTTTATTAAGTCTACAAAATTATTTTGTAATTTTTCAAAACATGGTTAAGCTAAAATGTCAAAACTCATGTGTTTACATTTTTATGTTTTGGACTATTTTGCAAAATGATGATATTTTTTATTTGGGAGGTTCTTTTTGAAAACCAGTTTTTGTAGCATGTTTATTATCATGTTAACAATCATTTTCCAAAGTTTTATATTTTTCTGATTTTATTTGTTGTTTTTAAAAGAGCTTTAAAAATCAGATTTCTGTTTAAAACAGACAGTGTGCATGTCTTGAGTCGACTCATGAACAGTGTTGAGTCGACTCATAAACTGTTGTGTAGTTTATATTTTGTTTCTGACGAGTCGACTCATAAATATCATGAGTCGACTCATCAGATTAAGTCGACTCATCAGATTGGGTCAACTCATGCCTGTCATAAGTCGACTCACAAACTGTGCTGGAAAGTGTGTTTTGTTTCTGCTGAGACGACTCATAACTTCATGAGTCGATGCATGCATGATGAGTCGACTCATAAAATGACTCATGAATTTTATGAGTCGACTCATAAGTTGATTTTTAGCCTGTAACGGCTACTTATGAGTCGATTCATGAACAATACCGAGTCGACTCATAACACTATAACGGTTATATTTCCAGACTGTACTGTTTTTGGGTTTTTGGTCTTTTTACCTTGTTTTCTCTTGGCTTTGGGGTTCCTATAAATACCCCAACATATCCTCAGTTCCACATAATCCAAGAAATGTTTAAACAAGTTTAACAAGGGTTTTAAAGTTTGTTTAGTGTGTTTTAAAAAAGTTTGTTTGTGAAGAAGTTTCTTACAAGTGGAGGAGATCATCTACATTGTTTGAAGCTTCATTTTAATCCATCTCTCCATCTTATTTTTTAGAAAAGAATTTCTAAACTCAATACTAGGTTTGTATTAATTATTTGTTGTTTATCGTTTTTATCAAGCTAGGGTTTACATTGAGTTTATGATTAATTTTCTCATTGCTTACACAGAACCATTGAGCTTGTTGTATTTGTATACATTATATAATTAGGTTGTGGGAGTTGTAATAATTGAGAGTGAGCTTAAATGAATTCTCATCTATTATAGAGAACAAATTTGTATTTGTGAGCCTTAATTGTGTAGATCACTTTGTAATACACTTGTACACCGAGAAGAGTGTGTGGTGAGAGATGGGGTCGTCCCAAGAGGAGTATAGTAGGTGGTAATATCTTGAGAGAGGTTGTAATTTCTAACACTTGAGGGAGACACGGACTAGAGGCCAACACTTAAGAGGGTGTAAAGTAGGATTGTAAGAGTGTGGGATTGTAAACTTTTCGGTTAGCTAGAAAACCGAGTGTGAGATGTAAACATTATTCAGGTGAGCGTAAAAAACCCGGTTGTGATAGTGGATTTCTCCCCGGGAGTGGGGAACGGAGACGTAGGATGAAAGGTCCGAACTCCGTGATCATATTGTGTGTTTGCATTGTTTATATTGCCCTATCACAATTGTATCTTTAGTTTAGATTGTTTACCCTTGTGTTAATTTATACTTCCTTGCATGTATTTC